AAACAATTTTGATTCATAATAATGCATGTAGATATCTCCCAGGATAGGGCTGAGAGGGCTAATCCCTCAGTTTGCTTGTAATATTTATTTTGGAAAACGAAATGCGTTTGTTTCAAACAGAGTTGAGTAAGAGAAATTAGCTCATCAATTTCAATGCAAGAGAAATGAAATTCGCGAAGTCTGGTTTCTAGACATCTTAATGCACCCTCCACTGGAACATTGGTGAATAATGATTTTACATCAAAAGAAACCATGAGTAAATTTCTAGGAGAAATGTTTTTAACCTTTTTTACAAACTCTATTGAATATTTTATGGTGTAAATGTTATAGTCTAATAGAGTTGAAAATCTAGAAACTTAATATTTAACAAACAGGTACAAGGCAGTACCTAAATTTTTGATACAATAGGGCAGAAAGGAATATCACTTTTATGAATTTTGAGAAGAGCATACAATCTGGCACGATTCGCAACAGATGGGATAAGTGAATGTTTTAAGTTGCATGAAAGGATTTGTGAAGATTTGATTGCAGTTTTTATTTTTGACAGGTTCGAAGGTGAAGTATCTTTAAAGATTGGATTATATGGTTCTTCGTTTAAGAGTTTAGTAACACCATCGATGTAAGGGTTCTTATCCATGACGACTATCTGGCCACTTTTGTAAGCCTTTGAAATGATAATATCCAGGTTAGAATGAATTTCACGCATTGTAGCTCTTTCTCTCGCGGTTAGATTTGGTTTCAAAGGTTTATTATTGAATTTCACATTATGTGCAATAAGATGCCAAATCATTTCTTTCTGTGAATCTGAAACTTTACTGAACTTGAAAGCTTTTTCGATAGGTTCCAAAATCTTTGGAATTGAGGGTTTAGAGGTTTGTGAGAAGTTAAAATTATATTTTAGAATTTTCTCTTGTTCTTCTGATAAGCTAACATTAGAAATATTAACTATTGGATTAATGTTTACAATGTGAAGATTTTTTGAACTACTTGAACTGGAATACCATAAAAGAAGTTTTTTGAATTAACCTGCAAGGGTGTTCAATCAAAAACCTTCCAGTCACGTTTTAAGAATTCTGTTAAACTGCAAGCTAGCCTTATTTCGGTCCATCATAAGGGATACATGCCAACAGTTATCCAAAATTGAACATGAGCTCTATTAGCTTCATCTGGAATTCGCTAATTCATATCCGAAATTCACTTCCTTGAAACTATCCCTTGATGAAGAACTAAATTATTTAAAAGCAATGGCTATTAACAGGGGCTTTTCACCCAACATTATTAATCAAGCAGTTAAAAAATTCTCATCTCAACACACCAAAAGGCACACTCTTGCTTTAGGAGATTATAAAAATTCTGTTATCATTCCCTTCTTTCCATCAGTTAGCTATAAAGTTGCATGCATTTTGCAGAAATTTACTTTCGGGTTGTTTATTGTCCCATCAATAAAATTCCGAGTTCCATACTCAAGGACCCCATTCCGGATATGAATTCCTGGTATATTTACAGGATTCCTTGCCAGTGTGGCTTAATTTACATTGGCCAAACTATGAGAGCCTTAAAATTTCACGTTAAGGAACATGAGGCATATACTAGAGAAAAGGAAACACGGAAATCTTGTGTTGCCCAACATTGTTGGTCTGAAAATCACACTTTTAATTTTTCTGCTGCCAAAATTATTCAAAAAACATCTTCCATTGGTGAACTGGATTTTCTAGAGGAATTTCACATTCAAAAAAATCTTTCTGTTCTAGTTAATGACACTAATTCCAATCTATCTTTGCCTTCAGGCTTTAAAGAAATTATGTTTCAGTTCTGGTTTCATCAATAGATTGCACCAATGGCTTGTCTCCTGTCCAGGCTTTCTTGTCTTACCTAATCATTATATCTTATCTCGTTCATTTGCGCTTTTGCTGCTGAGGATGATGGTTTGGTAAAACCATCGAAACTAGTCCTGTCAAAATTTGAAAATGTATCACTAATTTTTGTTGTTTGACTTCTAAATTAATATTTGTTTGGCGGGCTATTGTATCTTAATATATATGCTAGCTGGGAGCTTAGAAGAGGATTTTGGTTAGACGTATATATGCTTGCTGGCCACTTAAAGTACAATTTTGGTTGAACGTACATATACGGTTTGGCCATTTGGAGGGTTAACGCATGCGTCATCCATTCTCTTTTATTTGCATGCTATATAACGAGGAAAAACTTTACTCCTTTAAATGATCGAGGTTGTGTTTTTCCAAATACGAAAAAAATTACATTTGTGCCTTCCTACAGCATTTGCACATGTTAAATTTGCTAGTCTCATTTTGGAATCTTTGACACCAGTTGAAGGTAGAGGTTGCCAAGATATTTCACAGTATATATTGCTAGAAATGACCAGTTTCATCAGCGTTGTAAATGTGTTCTGGAGATGACATTTCACTGTTATTGAGTTCAATGAATTTATTTGCAAATAGTTCAGCAGCTTCAGTATCAGCTGAAGCTTTTTCATTTGAAATTTTTAATTGCCTTATACCATGGTGATTTTTAAATTTGGTTAAAGCTTATCTGAGTCCTGAATAAATAAATTCATTCATATACATAGGGCTTATCAAGCGCTGGCGCTAGATATCTTACCAAAATCCTAAATTCTGCTACCAAGCGCCTCCTTAAATTCTAAATTTTTGTGGCGTCTAAATTTTGGTTCTCAGCACTTTCCCTAAATTCTAAAAATTTTGTCATCCGTTAATTTTATGGCTCGCTGCTTCTCTAAATTTCAATAATTTTGTCTTGTCTAAATTCTGCCGTTCGGTGCAGCTGTATTTGCTGTATTGCCAATTCTGGGTTTAAGTGAATAACAAATCAGTTAGTCTTAATTCTAATAGCACTAAATATAATCTTTTAGCCTATGAGTATCATTAACAAAATTTATTTTTAGCATATGGAAGGAAATTTTTGTTAAATTTTTCCTTGTCAACATTTCTTAGCGCATTTAGCTTAGATCTGTAATCATCGCCATGCATTATGCCAGCATAATAGGTTAGCATACTCTTTGTTATTCAATTACTAATATAAAAAAATATTTAGGCATCGCTGCATGAGTCATTACTCAGGTTGTCATGTGTTGATAAACATGCAACAATTAAAGCAAAATATAATAAATAATGATTCGCCAGGTTAGCATCAGGGATGTAAAATATTAGTAGGTGTAAAATAAATGATAGTTCTATTTAGAATATTTCGGTTTGAGTTGTATTCGAAGCAGAGCTACAAAGCCAAATTATTGATCACAGAGATTTATGCTAAAATGATTGTTTCTTCAATAACGAGGTATTTTATTTAGTGCCGAAGTGAAATTATGAATCAGGACTCTGCACATGTTGTATTATGTGGGGGGGGGGAATTCAAATGCACATGCCTGAAGCAGAGGAAAAAAAAATAAAAAAAGGGGAGGTTGTTAGTGGCTTTGAGGTCCGAATGTTAGATCATTCCGGATATTGGATGTCTGGATCTTGGACTTTGTACTGTATCTGTGAAAATCTGTGTATACTCATAAAGATACTGCTTTAAGTGATGGTGTACTTTTGCAACATTTATTTTGGGTTCTTGGTACTATTATGTATTTTGTGCTGTCAAAGTTTGTTCCTCAGAACCTTTGCTTGCTGATGAACTCAATTATTTGAGATCACTTGCTAATGACTTGAGGATTTTCTCCCATGGTCATTGATAAAACCTTTAAAAATTTTTCTGCTCACAATCAAAGAAAACATTCTGCTGTTAGAAATAACATTAATAACCTTGTCGTGCTTCCACTTCATCCTTCTGTCAGTTATAAAATTGCACGGATTCTCCAGAAAAATCAGTTTTCAAGTCATTTTCTCATCAATAAAATTCATGGTTCGATTGTCGATGATTTTATTTTTTGGGGAATATATAGCATATTGTGTCAGTGAACTTTGAGATACATTGGCCAAACTAAAAGGTTGTTAAATTTTCTTGTCAAGGAACACAAATCTTATGTCCAAAAAGACGAAATTAACATCTTCGATAGCTAATCATTGTTATAAATTTAATAATAATTTTGACTTGCATTATTTTTCATCATAATGACATCATAATTTTGATTTTTTGTCTGCAAAAATTATTCAAAAAGCTTCTTCACTTGGTGACTTTGATTTTCTTGAAACTTTTCTTATTCACAAAGGTTACCTTTAGTTAATGACATTAAGTCCAATCCAGTCCTTCCTAACTCTTTTAAAATTTTATTAACTTAATTTTTCAGCTTCAATACTATTTTTGCTGATAGATGGCACTACCTTCTCTGTTGAGTTTAAATATGATTGCTGTGCCTACTGCTTGCAGGTTTCTTTGCTCCTGATGAAGATGTACCTGTATGTGTTTGCCCTCGAAATCCATTGAGATCTTGACTAAATCTGTGTTAAACTCAAAGTTGTTGCGTTACTAATTTTATGCTTATTTGAACTTTACAATAGTAGTACCTTGTACACAAGTTCATAACCTAAATTCAATGGAAATCATTAAATTAATGACAAAAAATATAAACATATTAAACTCATAAAACAGACAAAATTTAATTTTATTTTATGAAGCATATAAGGCAGCATGAATGGAAACTAAGAAAGCCGTTATATTTTGGATGCAAAATTTCCTACTATAAAAATATCATGTCAATAACTGTCTTTTCTTTGTCTCTAAGTGGCGTTTCACTCCTCTTGAGACTCATTAGTCCACTCACCTGTTTCACTCAGCATTTGTCCAATATTTTTTTTTTTACATTTTAAAATTAAAATTTGTTAAAACTGTTTGATAAGGTGAGATGTGGCACATTATCATTGAAAATGCATATACTTTAGGCTTGCTACTCCTTTATCAGGGTGATATTGTTATGTAAAAACTTTGCATGTTATCTCATTTATTGACAACTGTGCAATATTTGTAACTATATAAATATGCTTGCAAACTAAACTTAGAACTAATCAAATACTTTGTTTTTACAGCATTGGAAAAATGCTGGAAGAAGCTGCAGTTGCTTTAAAGGAAGTTTCTGTAAGTTTAGATTTCAAATTTCCTTCTAATAAATGACCATATATTTAAAAAAAAAAATCTTGTCTTAGAATCCAAAACAAATAATTTTTTAGTGTTGATATCATTTTAAAATAGTCTCTAGTTAATGATTTAATTTCCATTTATTGTTTAACAATAAATATGTAGTTTTGGTATATCCTTAATATATGTGTTTTTTTCCTTTTTGTTTTTGTTTTTAAGTTGTTGTATAAGAACCAATTTCTAAGACAGTTGCTTCATTTCAACCTGTTATGCAGTTAAGCTGCATTTTGTAGAAGAGATTTTTGTTTCCAATGTAAAACTGTGACATTACGAATTAAATCAGTGGAAACAAATGCACTGTATAATATGAATGTGGAAAACATCCTTATGTCAAAAAATTAACATAAAATACTTATTTTCACTTTAAATTAGTATGAAGTACTTAATAACTTGATCATTAATCATACATTTTTAGTAAATTCTGGCTGAAGTTTGCCTAGTATGTCTGCATATGTGGTATAAGCAACAGTGTTGTATGCATTTTAAATGAATGAGTCTGATTGAAATAAAGTTATAACCAAAAAAGACTTGTATGCTTTTAACATTACAGTCGTGTGCAAAAGTTGAAGACCACACATGGAAAAATCAGATTTTTTTGAATTCCGCAACAAAAACCTATGTTATAAATGAAAAAAATATACTTACAAGGTTATTGATGTATAGCCAGTATTTTGTCAAACCTCCTTTATTTTTTATCACTGCTGTAATCCTTTTAGGCATACTATGAACAAGAGACTAGCAGTAAGCTTGAGAAGTCTCTGTACACCACACATTCTTTATTGCTTCAACAAGTTCTGTAGCACTGGATGGTAGCTTCTCTGCAATTTTATTTTTCACAATGCACCACAGATTTTCTATGGGATTCAAATCCAGGCTGTTACTTGACCATTCAAGCAGTTTGAGTAGCCATCAGATAGTCCTTAACATTCATTGCCCTGTGACACGGAGCCCCATCATACATGAAAACTGAACATCTGTGAACATTCAAGTGAAGCTTCAACTTGTCACGTAACAAATTAAGGTACCAACTGCTGTTTATCATGGTTTTAGGTGGCAGGAAATATACAGCAGCAGTACCAGACACAGACATTGCACCCTATATCATTTGGCTTGGAGGGTATTTCACTGTTGGAATCGTATATCTGTCATCATATCTTTTTCCAAATGGGCGGCGAATACATTTAGCACGTGCAGAAATTTGCTGCACACTTGACTCATTGGCAAATAACACTGTACTCCTCTGTTGTTCGGTCCAATTCTGTTATTGTCTGGTGAAAGTCAGTCATTCCTTTTTAATATTTTGAGTAAGTCAAGGTTTCCTTGCAGGTTTATAGGAAAATAAACCATAATCTTAAGTCAAACATCTTGAAATAGTACTCAAACTGAAGCTGGTACCGTTTGCAACGAGAGCAGCTCTGATTTTATTGCAGGATGTTGTTAGACATTGAGTGATCATCCTTCTTATAACACGATCATCACGTGCACAAGTATATTTTGGACGACCGCTTCTCTCAACATCTGTATAATTTTACTGAATTTACTGATAGATTGATGCATGCCTGTCTTGCTGACATTTACCTTCAAACTTATTTCACATTCAGAAAAGCCAACTTCATGCAGGGCCACTATTTTTGTCCGTTTTTCAACAGTAAGCGAAGGTTTCTTATCCATTACAAGAATTATACAACAGCACTGTGTAGGTAAAATCCAATAACAAACTACTGATAAACGAGACCACGTTATAATTATAGCAGTAGAAAGCATTTGATGCAATCAATGCATGAGATAATGCAATTACGAGTGAAAATGGTGCAATCTGTTAAAATACAGGAAAACGGCTACTGGTCTTAAACTTTTGCACATGACTGTAAAATAAATGTGCATATACCTGCATTTATTTTTCTTTCTGTTGGCTGGGCAATAAATATGCATTTATGGGCATTTGCAGTTATGCATTCACCAAGAGATGGCTTTAATCATGGGCTTTGTAAGAATAGAACCTGTCCTTATTGTGTTAAATCCATCACTTGGCAAGGCCTTATATGCATTTATGTTGATGTTTGAAGTAATTACAGTAACCTTGTTATATATAATCTAAGATGCCAAACTTACATTTATAATGATATTAAATTACGGTATTTTTATTCTTTATAAAAAAGGCTTTCCATGAAGAAAGGAATCTTGTTTCTCAAGGTTTCTTTTTTGTTGTTGTTCTGTTACCAAGCTAAAAATTTATAAAATGCTTTGATTTTATCGTCCGTTCTAATATGTAATTTCTTTTATATGTCTTAGAATTTTCATTTCTGCCAATTAAGAACCTTGCGAGTAGCCAAAGGGAATGAGAAAGTACCAAAGAAGAATATAAATATTATTGCTACTGCAAGCAAATATGGCTTAATCTTCATTGGCATTGAAAACGGTAAATATTCAGCAAATTTATAAACATGATTTAATCAGATATAATTTGAATTTAACAAATCTTCTCTATTCGTAAAAAGGAAATTTAAAGTTAATTGTCCTCTATATTATTATATATTTATAAAGTTAGAAGAAACACACTACTTAACATCACTTAGGCATGCTGCTCCACTCTTCAAATACAAATATAGTTGGTTAAATTAAAACTTAATTTTTTAATGCCTTTTTAGTATTATTTTAGTATTATTTATGTATTTTTTATAAATAGTATCTAGTTTCTTTTTGATTTATTTGCATAATTCGTATCGGGGAAGTTTTGAGTTTTTAAATTACTTTGGTTTTCTAAAAAATTTGGTTTTCTACACTTAATTGACTTAAATTATTCTAGTCTTTACTTGCTAATTTCTCTAAATTCCACTTGTTTAAATTTCTTTTTAGTAATTCACAACATTTGATTTTACTTTTAGTTTTGAATTTTCCTTTTACCCTTGCCTACATGGATGACGAAACACGAATTGAATAATTTAAGAGTTAAATTTGGAGGCACTTCCCCTTGATAAGTCTGTCTCCTGCCTGCTGAACAATTATTCACTTATGCATTTTTATAAATTTTTAGGATTAAAAAATGTATTGGAATTATATATTATACATTTATTACATATTCATAGTTTTGATACTTGCACTTGATTTACATATGCTCTCTCAATTGAAATGATATTGTAGATGAGTTCACAGCAATTATTAGTCATTTATTTTAATTCAATTTCATTTAAAATTTAATTAACTTTAAATTGCTTTTTACGAATAGAGAATGTTTGTCAAATTCAAATTTCATTCCTTGTAGCAATGGAGGAAGAGAGTTATTTAAATTTAATTTAACTTTACCATTTTCTTTTGAAACAATTAGTCAGATATAATATATTTTGATTTGATGTTGTATGTAATCTATTACTTTGTTATTTATTTTTTTCTGGCATTATAAAAATTATAAAAATGCTGTTTTTAAATATGAAAAAAAAAAAAAAATAACATATAAATGAAAAATGTTTCTGTGAACTAATTTTAATAATCTATTAAATTTTAAATTCCATGAAATGTAAATTGCTTCTGATGTTGGGGGGGGGAACCCCGCTGTTTTTATACAGTGCTGTGGAATCAGTAGGGAAAACGACGGGCTACGACTCTGACTCGACTCCGACTCCTTCATATATATATACACTGGTTATCATAAATTAAGGAAGAATCACAAAAATCACGATTACTGAAAAAGTTACATGTAGAATTTAATGAAACTTACCCACAATATACAACACATAGTAAGGTATCAAATAACATAAAAAGAAATTACCAGACAAATATGGTAGTATAGAAATTAGCACATGTATAAAATGAACAAATCAAAGGTGTCAGTTTGCTATAGGAAAAGTACCTTCAATATGGAATATGATCGCCTCTAGAAGCAATATAGCACATAAGCGATGTGTGATGCTTTCAGTTATGCGGTCTATCAGTTCCATAGGAAGCAAGAGCCATTGCTCTTGCAAAGCAATTGCAAGCACGACAAGGGTTTGAGGGGGTGGATTGATAGCAGCTAGATGTCTCCTTAAAGCATCCCAAACGTGCTCGATAGGATTCAGTTCCGGGGATCGAGCTGGCCACTCCATGGGCATATTTGTTCCTGTTGAAGATAATCATCTATGATGCGAGCCCTGTGTGGTCTTGCATTGTTGTCCTGTAACAGGAAAGCATCACCTACTGCCCCAGTATATGGGCGCACATAAACATTTAGGATGTCATCTCTATAAATCTGAGCATTCACGGTTCCCCTTGGAAAGACATGGAGCTCTGTGCGTCCACCCAAAGAGATGCCACCCCAAACACAGACACTCCCTCTTCCATATGCATCTCTTTCACGGATGTTTGACGGATGATAACGAGTTCTAGGTTCTCTCCATATCAAATAACGCCTACTATCGCTTTCTAGACCAAACCTGGCCTCATCTGTAAAGAGAACCACCCTCCATTGATCAGGCGTCCAGTGGACATGTTGTCAGGCCCACTGAAAATGGTCCCTCCTATGGCGTGACGTGAGCGGCACACAAATGGCTGGTCGCCTCGCATACAGACCACCTTCGTAAAGCCTTCTACGCACAGTTGATGTTGGCACGAACCTTCCATTGGCTGTAGCAAGGGAGGATCTAAGAAGAATCGGAGTAGCGGTTCTATTCCCGCGTGCACATAATGTCAAATATCGGTCATCGGTGCTCATCATAGCAGTTGGCCATCCTTGGCTGAATCTCCTAGATGCCGAATCTGTGGTTTGAAATTGCCTCCAAAATCTATGAACCACAGAAGGACTCACATTTAGCTATCTGGCCACTTCTGTTTGACTTTGCCCTGCCTCTAGTCTCCCAATGGCTCTGCATCGCTGTTCTGCAGGCAAATGATGCCTGGAGGTCATTGTTACGAATTGGCTATCTCAGATTTCTGATGTCACTGTCACAGTGAAATATGTGGGCTTGCTCTCAAACATGGACTTTTATGCTCCTCGCAGATGACGTATTCCGAAAGCAGTACCACTAATTTGCATATTGCAGTTTTATTCAGCTGCTCTTACTTGGCAACATATTCAAATTTTACATGGTTTGGCTTATTTTTGAGGGAGTTATCGCTATTTTTGTGATTTTTCTGTAATTTATGATAACCAGTGTATATATAATGTAAATGATCTAAAATTCATCTAGCTCGAAAATTTCTTTTATTTCTTTAATACATAAATTTTATATATGCAAACATCTACACACGGGTTACAGCTTTTTTTTTTAATATAAAAGAAGTAATAGATACTACAGGGAAAAAATTGATAGCATAGCACATTATTTATATTAATTAGCATTTGTTATGAAATGAAAAAACTGGCATTAGTTATTTCTAAGAAACAGTATAGCTTTGGCAAGATCTTCTTTGTTGGAGGGCCAAATATCTGATTTGATAAACTCCAGAGCTAAGAAGAGCCTTACCACACTAACTTGAGTAGGAGCAAGAGCTGTTACTGTTAGGGCTACTTCTTTTAACTTTTCAGGATAGATATTTTATAAGTTCTAAAAGACGTGTTTCACAAGCACAATCATATTTCTCTATTTCTTCAAAGGCAGTGTAGAAATCTTGTTTGTATTTTTTCATTTTCATACCTAAAGGCTCTTGGTTCTTTTATTTTCATTCGCTTTGCTTTAGCCTTTTAAATATGATCCAAAAATATTTCTCAAAGTCTAATTCATCACTGGAAGAGGATGATAGAGATTTAATTCCAATGCCTGCAGTTTGACTGTCGTGACTCAAATTCTCCAATTGTTCTGAAAATAATTTCATTCTTAATGAAAGTTCATAGATGGCTTTCTTTGCCTTTTTAATTTATTTGTCATCCAAGAAAATTCGGTGTTTCAGATCTACATATTTATCGAACCCAGCAAGATCCCATTTTCTAGCAAACTAGTTTCTCTTTTTTTTCATTGAAGAAATGATTCCTTCTGCAATAAACCCACCATTTCAGAAAGAAAAACTTCACATTCTTCCATTCTCACCTCCTGTCAGTTCTTCAGTGTTAGTGAAACATTAGAGTTATCTACATCTTCTAAAAAAAGTTCTTAATTCTAACAACCTCTTTATCATCAAATATGTACTTCCTTATCGTGTCGCTTGATCAATAATTGCTCCTTTTCCTGCTCACTTCCTAAAAATGGCATCAATTTGGGAGTTCTTGCTGCTGTTACTGCTTACCTAAATGTACCAGTGAGATTTGTAACTAAATGAATCAGTTTAATCACTAATGGTAAATATCACATCTGTCTTCCTTCGTTATATTTATTTATTAATATGTCAATAAAATAGAAAAGAATAATTTTTTTTAATCCAGATATTTTGTGGATAAATTAAGAATATTTTAAATTTCAGCGCTTTTTAATAGGACGACAGATAAGAAATGCACTCGTGATTTTACTGCTTGCAACGTTGAAAAACGTAAACATGTTGTATTGATGGAAATGAAAAAAGTGGAAATTCTGCTGAAGATGGAGGAAGGTGCTACTACTTGGTTTATAGCAGAATTGTATGGAATTACCACACGGACTGTGTATGATATACAGAACAATAAAGAAAAGCTGTTGAAATTTTATAGCAACAGTGATTCTAACACCGGAATCCGAAACTAGAAATCTTTACATGAGGCGAAATCGGCAAACCTCGATGCTGTCTTGTACGAGTGGTTCTGGCAGCGGTGGAGTGATGGGGTACCTATTTCAGGACTACTCCTGAGAGAAAAGGGGAAGCAGATTCATGCTGATTTAAAAATAGAGTAGCCTAATGGAAATGAACAATATAATCAGTTTATATATGTAATAATAATTTAATGCATATAATTAATTATTGTATTAATGTATGTATTTATTTAATTAAATGTATCTAATACACCTTATTTATTTTGAACTTTTTAGTCTGAATATTATCTTTTCTTTCCTGAAATCCCTAAGATCCACACAACCTCTGGTCCCAAGCGTTGCGGATTTCTGGACTTCTACTGTAGTCTGTTAATGACCAGAGGCCTTGCTGATAATACAAATAGTCATTTAACTTGTGTGTTACATGTAACATATTCTGTATTTTTACAGCAAAGTAAGTTAGATGGAATAAAGTATTATTAACAAATGAGGAAGCGAAAATACATCTGTATTCATCATTATCCTTTATTTTCAGTTCTTTGCTTATGTGATGAATTCATTGGTTTGAAAAATGTCATGATTTTTCTGTAATGTTCAGGAGCAATTTTTATATAACTAATGTTATTTCATATGAAAGCTGTGGGAATATTTAAAGTTTACATTAAAATGCTAAACATGATGATTAATAGAGAATTATTGAAAGTCTTGTTATGCTGAAATGCTTTTATTAATTTGATGAATTTTTCATATAGAGCTGATTATACAAGGTTATAAGTAGATTCTTGCA